TTTGTTTGTGGGGCAGGTAGTCGGTCACTGGAGGTGGCATCTTAAGTATATATGCGCGGCTGCTAAAACAAATATTTTTTTTCTTCGTCTATTTTAAAATTTATATATTTATAAGTATTTTATCATGATATTCAAATTAATTGACGTATAATTTTATATTTTAGACAAATAACTTCAAAAATAAGTAAAAATAAAATTTATTTTTGAATAACAAGTGATAAAGTTTTGACGAATTTAGAAAAGAGAGCCAATAAATGGTCAATGACTTCAATTATATTGCTTCACACCTTACTGCAGTGTTCTCTCTTGTCAAAACCATTTTCCAACATCACATTTTCTTATTAATTTACTATATTGTAAAAAATAAAAAATATCGAAAGAGTAATAATCCTTTTCCACCCTTTTGTCGAGTGATACGTCGCACTCATTATACCAGCTCTCTCTTCTTAGTAATTCGAATTTCACTATGTACTTGGAATTTTTTTATTTTATCATTAGTGATAAAATATTTAGATTATGACTTTCAAAATTTATTTTAGTAAATTTGATGTCGTATAAGGTAAGTTTGGAACTAAAATAAATATGGTATAAAACGAAGCCTTGAAATAACAACACATTTTAAAAGAGGTAACAAATAAAAGAGTAATTATTATATGATTAGTCCTAATTATTATATTTTGGAAATGTATTAGAAATAATTAATACTTAATAATAAAGATAAAACAGGTATATATAATGATAAATTATCCCTTTTTTTAAAAAAAAAAATCTTATTTTTTAAGCTCTGCCTTCTGATATACTAAAAGTAAAGAACTTCTAAATTAAAACAAATAAAAATAAATATTAATTTTAAAATAGTGAATAAATAAAAATAAACAAAAGGGTAGATGTGGAATATACCATCCCATTAACACCCTTGAAAAGAGCAGCCTACCAAACTCTCATTTTATTTGGGTGCACTATTTATTGCAAAACATGAAGCACAAAGAGGGGAATCAGAAGCCCACTCCAAATATACAGTATCACATGTATTCAAAATTGAAATTTATAAGTTTTTATAATAATTTTAGATTAATATTTTATATAATAATATTTTTTTACGGTTAAATTTCTTTAGTCACTAGAAAAGTTTTTTCTTTCCTTGTAAAATCTTTAATACGAATATCGAATCTATTGAAAAAACTAAATAGATCAGCTTTTGTACACACTAGTATGATACTTTTTCCGTCTTTTTTTATTTGTCAAGTTTTAACTTAACACACCTATTCAGAAAACAATGATTAGTATAATGAGTTTATTATTTTATCCATATTAATTAATAGAGTCTTAAGCATATTTACTCACTATATTTTTTAAAGATACTAACTCAATTTTAATAAATTGAGAGTATAATAGAAAGAATAAAATTATTCTTCTTTAATTTGTCAAAAATGACTAATACAAAAGAAAAAATCAAATTAAAAATATTTGACAAATAAATAGAGACGGGAGCAGTAAAGTATTAGGGCAACACCTGAAATTGACATATTTGTTTCTTCTCCTTTAATTCTCTCTTTTACTTTCTGTAATATTAAGCCATTTAAGTGTTTCTTGAAGGTCTACTACATAACCCAGTTGGCATTTGTCAGATAGAGCCATGATTGAATCATTGGGATATTTAAGTCATTTTGAGTTTTTAACCTCAAAATAATACAAAAAATAAAAAAATAAAAAATTTATTTTTTTGTGATGGTATTGTTTGTCTAAATTGTTTTTTTGCTTGTTGCTATAAGAAAATATTGTTACAGGGTATGATATAATATACATGAAAAATAATTCAAAAAAAAAAAAGTTCATCGCTATAATAAAATGTTATAATTGAGGAGAATTATTATAGGAAAGTCTGACCATACAAATATTTATTTTTCTACTTCCTTACCTTATGCCTTTAATATACCAAAAATTTTTTTGTCACAAGTAGGGTTGGAGTTAGCGTTCAAGCTAGCAAATTGATAAAATTCAATAATTTTAATCAAATTATTATATGTGCCTGTATTAGGAAAAAAATATTTTTAGAATTCGTAAACTCAAATTCTAGATCCACACCTTCTAGCCCCAAAATTATTAAAATGTCATTTTTTTGGTATAGTTTTGATAATATCCTAGCATCATGCTTACCACAATAAAAAGGGTATCATTTGGAGAAAATAGATTTTGACCTTTTGAAATTAATCAGTACTTACTAATTTTTTGGGGAGGCAATTTTGGTGACATGAAAAACTTTAATTATATAACTTTTTAGACATGGATTTTCTTACTAGTATAATAATTATTTATGGTTGTTGGTCCATTAATTCTTCACTTTATGATATTATGAAGTGCCTCCACTTTAGTTCAGCATGCAAATTGCCTTTTTCCTCTATTAATTGTAGTGGGTTGTGGGGAGTAGTAAGTACTTCTTCATTTTTAATCAAAATGTTTTAGGTTTAAGTTTCCTTGTGTATGGAGTCGTCTTTGTGAGTACTTTACACTCCAATGTGAGACTTTTCGGCACAAATCCAGATTTAGTGGGACATCGGATGGAAAAAAAAACATCATTTCAGAACCATCTAAATTCATGACATGTGTTATTAGATTTTATAAATTTATTTTTTTAAGCTACGTGATTTTCATCGAATCCAAAAATATGTATATATTGTGAATGTATATAATAATATTATCTCCATGTAGAATTCGATCGCCTTAGATATAACATGTGTTACGTTCCTTCTTCAAAAAATTGTCAATTACAACAAATCACTTTGTAATGTAGGCCTAATTTAGTAATGTAAGAAACAAAATAAATCATATAATTTTTCTTAAAATATATCATATGCTTTTCATGATTATGAAGTACCCACTCTACTATTTACTGGGGTTCTTGCAGGTCCTGATGCTGAATTCTTTTGATTAATAAATAACTTTGACGCAAAGTTCTCTAAGTTAAAATTAAAGTAGTACATTGTGAATTAATATAATTGTATTTTAAACTTTAGAACTATCATATTATTGCATAAACAAAAAAAATATGCATTAATGAGAATAGTTATTAATTATTATTGGTAATATTAATGAGTCTTTTTTTGTTTTAATTTCACCAAAATGCATCTCGTTTAACTAATCAATGTTTTCAAAGTCATTTTCTGGATATATACATAGAGAGATTGTTGAATGACGAATTAAGAAATAAAGATGGATTCAGAATTTTAAAATTTTGAATTTTCTTATAACAATTTTTCAAGTTGATATAATAATAATTAAATTTTCGATCAAATATATATCCAATTTTGATAAAAGTTTAATAATTTTTATGTGGATTCATAGATTACATTATATTATAGTTCGTCTTTGACAAGAAGAGACAAATAGTATTTTTAGATCTACCAGCTCAGTGCTCCCCCCCTCCCCCCCCCCCCCCCTTTTTATTTTTTGCTATAAGATAATCATACGTATGATTTAGATCATCTTACCAATTTAGTGCACATAATGATTAGGGGTTTGCTAAAAGGTAGTGCCTTAATTTAAAGAAACCATGCATGCAGTGGAAATAATGAATTATGTTTAATTAATGATTCTATATAGTAATTGAACAATATTATTGATTAATTTAATTAAGAGCATCTTCTTCAACTTCAAGACACAACATGATCATGTAACTCTGCATGTAATTGTAATTTGTATGTCTTGAGAAATATTTGCTTATGCATGTAATTATTATTATTAATTGTGTGTGTTAATCGAAAATTTATTGGGTTGACTAATATTCGAATTTGTATCACGTAGGCTTATTAAGAGGCTAAAACACTTTTTATGAAAATAAACTTCATTTCATAATTCGAATGAAATATCTGATTAAGAATAGAGAAGTTTTATCTATCTATGTCGTTAGACTCATTACATCGCTTGGTAGTCAATCATTTGAGTTAATAGTTGGAAAAACTAGAGTTGAGGTTATGTACTTTTTGTTTTTGGAATATATATATACTATTGAGTTGAAATTTTGAATTATTCCTTCAACCAAAAGTAAACCAAAAAAATTTCAACCCTACCTTCTACATTTTTGACTTTTAACCCTAGGTAAATTATGATTAAGGTGAATATTAATAAAGTTGAGTTTTCCTATAGATAACGTAAATTGGTAAAAAGACATTGGGAATAGAAGCTAGGGGAGATGATTATGGACTAAAAAAAAACCAACTTTAATTAAATGATGGATGATATGTTTTTTAAAACAGTGTGCATCACGTGATAAAGACACGAGGGAGAAATATGAAAATATAATGATAATTTTGGGTTATTTATTGTATGATAAAAGAGATTTTTTTATTTTTTTTTGAGATGTTGATAGGGGCTTTGAGTTTTCAAGATATAAATCATGAGATGTATGACGATTTGCTATGATGTGATGTGAGGAATCTCTCTTTTTTCGACGCAACTCCATGTTATCCCTTCATTTCAATTAAACAGTCATTAGGTGATTTCTGGGTACCTTCGTATCTATTGTCGTATAAGGCAGAGTATTGACTAGTCAAGAACGTTCACGTAGATGCTCAGATGAATGTGAGGGAATACTAGGAGAAGGAAGGTTAGGAGCGAAGCTAAACAGGTAAGGTGGGAGTGGCGTTCATGGCAAAATTAAGGAAGCAAACCTGTGGTTCGGGCATGTGAAGAATAGGTTTGTAGATGCGCTAGTACGAAGGTATGAGAGACTGACTATAGTATGAATTAAAAGTGGTAGAGGCAGGTCGAAGAAGAACTGGGGAAGGTGCTTAGATAGGACATGACAAAGTTTCAGCTTACTAAACGATCCTAGATAGGAAGGTATACTGATCGAGAAATCGGGTAGAAAATTAGTAAATAGCAGAGTATTGCCACATTTTTTTATATAAGAAACAAAAGATAACCCTTCGATCTTGTGACATGAAAATAGCTTCTTCCGTCTTACCAAACGATAATTGAATAAATAAACCTAAACCTCCTTATTACATTGCATTGATCAAGAACACTTTTATTACCAAAACTACATCCCATGTTGCAATGTCTAATGAACAGGAAAAAAAAACTCATCACTCCATCCAAGCCTGTAGAGGCGGATCTAGTATTAGAAGTAGGTGCTCGGGTTTAAAACATATATATTTCGACTAATATATTAAGTAACGGAATAGCTGCAAGATTACTTCTGCCAGACTGCATAGCGATGGCCACTGGTCACGAGGGTCCACTCTTTCCCAGCAGGGCACCATGATCCGTCCCCAATCTTCATGCTAACCTTTTCATCAATGGTTGCAGCGTATAAGTTTGGCTGTGCCTCAAGAATCCTTATAGATGAACGGCTGTGTATGCCTTGATTCCTCCGAATAGCAATCTGAAACATACATTTCAAACATTAGGATCGTCCAACTCTGACTGTTCACTCAATTTGTGTCAATAGTTAATAGATATTGACATACCAGCTTTACAATTTGGTCATGCATGGAATTATCCCATTCGTAGAAATGGTCATAGAAAACTGATGGTATCCCTGGGTGTGTAAGAATGTATGCATAGCCCTGGAGTGATAAGTATAAGACCAGATTGCACAAAAGATGATCATGAAAAATAAGATCTAAACATTTGTATAGTAGGAGAAATATGTAAACTAGAAGAACTTGAGGAATACAATATAGAAGTAGAAATAAGCTCGCAAGTCGAGCATTTAAATGTGACGGATAGATGTTGGAAATACCTCCATAACATGACGTGAAGGGAAAGGCCAATGCGCCTACAAGGTGAGCTCATTATGTTAGTTGAGTAATCAAGGGAAAATATTTCAGTTTCCGTGATAAGAAAAATATCAAAGAGAGTAAATGATCCAAGATGCTAAATTCAAAAACAGATCAAATGAATGAATTGCATAACCTATGCGACTGCATTAACGAAATCATACAGTAGAATGGTCATGTAGCATCATAGGAAATGAAGCAGCGAAACCAAAGCAGAGACTAATAATCAGCTAGATGCAAATCAGACAACATCAAGAACCTGAGTTGATCCAGTGTCGTGATTATCAATAAAAGTGACAGCCCTTGAAGGCCACAATCCTAAAACTCCTGGTGGCTTCCCCTTAGAGTCACGCAAACGCCAGAATTCTCCTTTGACTGCTTCCTGTCAATGCATATACATAATATAGGTTAGCACTATTTTCTGGTATATCCTCACTGAGTCACAGACAAATCTCCGAATAAATAACTTGAACAAGAAATATACATGTCATCAAAATTCATTTGGATTTGCTACCATTACTAAATTTGACCTGAAATCGTGTAGTCTTTGATACTAATATCAGATGAAAAGGGCCCATCATTTTTATTAGGATCTTAAGTTTAATAGTCAATAAATCTAGAGTCTCGTGTTTAAATGGATACCTGAAGGACTGCTTTTGTTGTAAAATCGAATGCAGTCGAAAGTTGTCCCGCGCCATCAATCCAATTGATGATTCTTTGCCTGTGACTATCTGCATATAACAAATAAAGCTACCTTTAATATATAGACAGAACAAAGATATCTACAGAAGGGGGAAACCAAGGTATGGATATGCTCTGCCTCCACATTGTGTTACTAGATACATGGAAATTGTCAACTACTTGGATCACATTATGTAGATTGTAGCTCAACACTGATGATTTAATAAGATTGTAAAACTTGGATGAAGATATGTAGCTTCCTGTTACCTCAGAAGTTGACTTTTTTGAGGCACTTCATATGGTCTGCAGATGTTTTATTTGTCCTTCAATTTCTCTCTTTTTTTTAATGGAACTTAGATGGTTAAGAATTTAAAGACATTTAATTATGACACAGCATAAGACAGATTTTCACATCAATAAGTTCTCTTGTCTCGAAAGGTCATTCCTAAAACTTGCTCATCTCTCCTTGCTTAAAGAAATTCAACATTGATGGCGCCAACTGTTAGAAAGGTGAATATATCTAAGTCACATAATACCTTGGTTGTAATCCAAATTGCTGCCCTTGTAATTGCAAGTGTCCCAGTATTCTCCAACTGCAAATATTGGCTCAGCTCCCTCGATATATTCCTTTACATACTTCGAAGCATAACTAAAGTTGAGAGAAAGGAAATCTCAGCTCTTTGCAAATGGAAAGACATCAAACAAACGAAAAGAAAATGGAAATCCTGCCTTGGAGGGAAAGGGGTACATAGAGAACTTCAGAAAGCAAGTGCACATTTACCCTTTGGCAAAATCAAAACGAAAATCTTGGAAGCCAACAGAGGATCTTAGCCACCGCATCCAGTCAATGAGATCTTTCCGGACAAAGGATTGTGTATGATCTATATTTGGAACTCCATTAAAGTTGTCTCCAGTGCTTTTGTTACCCTGGAAGATATCCTTAAGTATGAGAGTATACTCCGAAGGTGTTTTACTTGGAAATTGAAAATATGCAAGAAGAAAAAATCACTTATCCATAATATCTATTTTCAGACATCACATTCAATTGATTATCTGAAAGTTCATTCGCTGCAGAAATGAGCTAAACTACAGAACACCAATTATTAGACTGATGAGTATAAACCACTCAAAATACTAGACACTGAATTCCAGAAGTTAAAAGAACTAATGGTGAAGGTAGCCTGAAACTGAAGCCACATGAATTCAAGCTATTAACTCAAAGTTGTAGTCTTTGATATTCGATATGTAAAAATAGGCAGCAAAATTTGCAAAAGGGGACAACTCTTCTAAATTTTAATACTGAAAATTTATCAAAATGAGTCTTCTTAAATAGGAAGATAAAAAATAAGGTTTATCTAATTTACTTCCAATTATTTGAAACTTACTGAAGGAATCATAAGTTTTAGTAAGGTTAATACATTAAACCAAGCTTAATGTTAACTAATGTTAGCATCAGAGCTTCTTGATCTTGGCTTGGCGAATAGAAGTAGGTGGTTCATTTCCAGGAGAGGAATCTATCATCTATGCCACTCTAGCAAAAATAAAAGTGTACACGAAAAATGAACATCATATACTAGAGAAAATTGTACTCATTAATTCTATGATCAAGTAGATGCAGATGAAAGGATAAATAAATGTCTAAAGCTGCATATCCTTGAAGCAAGATTTCAGTTACAGCATCCTTACCCTTCCACCAGTGCAAGATGTAATAGCATGTTCATCCCAAGACATAGGAATTCCATCATAGCGGTTGTACATTCCGCCATGCCCTTGAGTAGTCCCAACACGATGGTTAATGACTATGTCCGCCATCGCTCTAACTTTGTACTGCTTCATCTTATTAAGTAAAGCTTTTAAGAGATCCTCAGAACCATATTTAGAATTGAGAGAATAAAGGTTCTGTGGAAGGTAACCTATGATGAAAAACAACAACACAAAAGATAATTAATAACTATCAAAAGAGAAGCTGAAAGAGCGCAGAGACAACAACTCAAATGACTAAACACTTTTACTTTCAACCTTCAGGAGCCAATGACTGACACACCGGAGGCAGCCAAGCAGTTGTGAAACCAGACTTTGCAATATCAGGAACTTTCGTATCTAAATTTATCCACCAATCATGTTTATGAGATTCCCAGTCGAATGCCTGCGTGGACAATATATAAGACTTTTCTACTTATGAACAGAATTGACACTGATCAATGTTTACTTCTCAATTGTATTTTCCATTTCTTTATGTTCAAAACAATTGTTCTGACGGATAATGCATCAACATTCAGCCTTCAACAAATTGTAATATGAAACTAATAATTCTTTGAAAGATAATATCACCTGCAATATGATCTCCTTTCCATTGCGTATCACAACCACTACAAGCACATGAAAATAATAGTTCAGTTAGCATTCATCAGTATAATCCCCCTTCAAAAATCTAAGTCTTATGAAATACAGTGATTGCTAGAGCTCGTCATGTAAGGAATTATACTAGTCTTAACAGAAAATAGGGCATGCACATCCCAATCATTTACTCTTAGAACTGGTAAAGTTTTAAATGAACTACCAAAATATTTTGTTCAAATCTTCGCCTTTATTAAGTTCAAATCTCCGTCTTCCTTCTCAATTATGAAGCATATATAAAGGAAAAGAGAACCTTACATGGATCAGACTGCTGACTTTCATCAAGCCCCATAATGGATTGTAGTTGAGATTAGACGTCCCTTGCTAACTCGAACCCACAACCTGTGTTTGCTCGTTCAGGGGAAAAAGCCGATCGCAGCTTGAAATTACGTTCCTCAACCTAGATACTCTGGTATTTATACAGACGAAAAGTGAAATTAGTCAAATCGGATCGATTCCTCTGATAAGGAATCATAAATTCTCAACCGTGAAACGGAAAAAGGAGAATTGCAATTGAAGAAAAGTAGGAATCTCTACCAGTAAAAAAATTGAAAATTCGATCACCACATAAACCAGAAATACAAAAAGAAACAATATTTTTAACTTTATTTTTATGAAATGTAGTTGAGATTCGAGGAATTTATAGAAAGTAATCCATTTTCTGGATTCGTTCCGCTCCGAAATCGTTCGTCAGTGATATCCATGTTTCGCGGTGAATAGGCAGTGACACATGGCAACGGTTCATTGGAAGGTTGGAACTGACGGCTGTGGGGTGGAGGAGATAGACGACGCGTCGAGAATAGTGCGGTGGCGGTGACGACGGCGACTGTCCATTGGCGTAGTGACAGTTCATACGAATTGCGGCCGAAAGAGGGCGCAAAATGTCAAATTGAGATCATAATCAATAATCAATAATCAATTAAACAACCAACTTATCCCGGTTCAATTTATTTGTTTTGTTTTTCTTTTTAATCCATTTCAAAAAGAATATTTCTTTATACTTTGATATTTTTTTCGTAAATTTTGTGTCAAATCATTAAATTTGTCATTGAATTTAATTTAATTTTCTATTCACGGACATGTTCAATTGAACATATAAACAAATTAAGAAGTGTTTTTATTAAATATTTTCACCTCAAGTTATACGAGGAAAGGAATCAATGTTTTAAAAGGCGGAGTCGTGAGGCGAAGCATTTTACTTAATTTAGGGATAGACGTAAGCCTCGAGACGTGGGGTGTAAGCCCTATGGATCTTTAAATTTTTAATTTATAATATAGTATAATAATATAATAATACAAAATTATAAAAATACATCAAAGTTTGAAAATAATTACAAACATGATTAATGAAACTCATAGAAAATAAAACTTCCAACATTATTATACAAGCATAAATAATCTAATATCTTAACTTTTTAATAATAAAAGAATCATTATTTCTAAAAATATATTTTTTATTATATTATACAATTCACCACTAAAAGAAAATAATAAATAAAACTTACTAGTATTATAATAAAAGCATCACTCAATGATGAGTAAAAATAAAATTACTTTCAAATAGCTATATAAAATATGATAACTTTGAGATTTATGACAAAACCATGAAGATCAATGATCTTCAATGATAAGTTAAAAAGTAAAATTTCGTTACATATTTTTAAAAGAAATGTTACGTAATGTATAATCACATTCATAATGTTATCAAATAGTAAAGATGTGATACTACAACTTGTTATTTGAGTTACTCTCAATCTTCTTATATGTATAGATTAAAAAATTATGAAGTATCATTCATTCATTCAAGAATTATGAGGGATGTGAGACCAAAAAAATATATATATTTTAATCATTATTTGTCTTACATTTATTATTTATATTTGTCTTTTTTGAGTATGAATTTTATGAATGGTGCTAAATAGTGTATTTTATTTGTAGGATTAAATTGGAGTAAAGTTGAAAAAGTTTAAAGCTAAAACGAATTAAATATGAAAGATTGAAGAAGAAAAAACAAACAGACATCTTAATGAGTTAAATTGAATATAATAATATATAAATGTATGAATTGAAAGGAGAATTAGAGTTGTAATAGGAAACTTACCTGTCGGCACGTGTCAGGCAGCAACAATTGAAGACGCGCATAATTTGGACGAGCACTGTTCACGCGGAAATCAAAATTCCGTTTAATGAGTTAAATTGAATATAATAGAGTAATATATAAATGTATGAATTGAAAGGAGAATTAGAGTTGTAACAGGAAACTTACCTGTCGGCACGTGTCAGGCAGCAACAATTGAAGACGCGCATAATTTGGACGAGCACTGTTCACGCGGAAATCAAAATTTCGTTTGGTTTTGGTTTTCCAATTTATTTTTGACTCAGTTATTTTATTTGAGGTTTTTTCTACATCTATAAAGAATTCATAAAAATAATTATTTTGGGAGATTAGGCAGAGGGAAGATCAATTACTTGATCACCTGCTAAATTAATATAGAATTAATTTTCAATACTAGCTATTCCTATACTCTATATATATTTTTTCTAACTTATTTTTATGTGCATTGATATGAATAAAGGATAAAATAGTAAATTTAATCAATCTATTAATGACTTCTTAATCACCATATAAAATAGAAAGTACTCAATGGAACCAAAGTAACATATTAGAATATGAATTGTGTTTGAATAGCCATAATTTTGGAGTGAAAAGAAAAACCGTTCTACCAAAAAAAAGAAAGAAAAGAATAGGGAATAAGTAGTGTTCTAATGGAACTAGGGTTGTTCATGGTTATAAAATCAAATGGATTCGCAATCCGAATTAAATCGATTAAAAAAATCAATATTTGGTTTGATTTGATTAGGTTTGGCTTTAAATTTTGAAAAACCGATATTATTTGATTTGGTTTTGATTTTACTGAAAATTAACCGCAAAAATAATCAAACCGAACAGAGAAGTCATATATATAAATTTTATAATTATTTATAAATAAATTATTTTGATAAATTTAATTAACTCAAGTCTTTAATTTTACTATTTTCTGAAGTCAAACACTTAAATTTTAGCCCAACTATTAAAACCCTAAATCCCTCAATATTCATTACTTTAAAGATCACACTTTCTCTGTTCTTTATAAACTTTTCTAAGGCAACATTGAATAATTTAAAGCTCAAGCTAAAGAAGATGGTAATTGATTAATTTTGACTATGAAATATTGGTTGTTGTTTTTTTGAGAAATAATTTCTCAATATTTTAAGGTGTAATTTTATAGAAAAGTTTATTGATAAGATAGATGTTGAGATCTCCTGAATATTGAACCAATTTTATACTACTAACAATGAGTTTTTTAGTTTTTGAAACTTGGTACATTGGATGAATCACTTTGTTCGTGTAATAGCTTATGTGTAATAGCTTATTTGTGAATTATTCATGTACTAAGTGTTTGTGTCTATCGAGATGCATATGTTCTCAACAAACTTATTACTTTCGAACCGGAAAAACCTAACCAAACCGATGATAACCAAACCAACGGTTATTTTTTGATTTGATTTGGTTTGATTTTAGAAATTTAAAATTCGATTTAAATTAGTTTGATTTTGATTTTAACTAATAACCGGTCCAAACGAACCATGAACACCCCTAAATGGAACTATTGGAATTGCTAGAGTTAATTATGAATCGTTTGGGATTTGCTGCATAGGTTGTTTTGTTAATTCATTAGGACTTTGAAATTTTTTCTTAAAACCTTGCATAAATTATGGGGTTTTTTTAAACAAGAATTTTGAGGAATAGAACATAATTTTCTTCTTGCAAAGAAGAAAAAACAATCTGAATTGCATAGTTTCCTCCGAATAAATTAAAAAAGAAGAAGTCAATAATCAAAAGTATATGACGTCATTTTTCAACTTTATCATAAAGTAGTATTTGAAGCTTTGAAAAAATAAAAGTAGAGCTGAGCTAGATGGAAAAAGTATGGTGATTAGGGAAGGCCGGAAGGGCTTAAGTCATATGCAGTTCCTTAAAGTTGTTCGCATATAATAATATAAAATTATAAAAATACATCAAAGTTTGAAATAATTACAAACATGATTAAAGAAACTCGTAGAAAATAAAACTTCTAACATTATTATACAAGCATAAATAATCTAATATCTTAACTTTTTAATAATAAAAGAATCATTATTTCTAATTTATTTTTTATTATATTATACAATTCACCCCTAGAAGAAAATAATAAATAAAACTTACTAGTATTATAATAAAAACATCACTCAATGATGAGTAAAAATAAAATTACTTTCAAATAGCTATATAAAATATGATAAATTTGAGATTTATGACAAAACCATGAAGATCAATGATAAGTTAAAAAGTAAAATTTCGTTACATATTTTTAAAAGAAATGTTACGTAATGTATAATCACCTTCATAATGTTATCAAATAGTAAAGATGTGATACTACAACTTGTTATTTGAGTTACTCTCCATCTTCTTATATGTATAGATTAAAAAAATTATGAAGTATCATTCATTCATTCATTCAAGAATTATGAGGGTCAACAATGTTAAATAAAGATTTTAACGCATAATTTGTCTAAGATCTGTTAGGCGAGCCTCAGTATTAGGAGTTGAGCGTACTTAGTGTGTACAGTCCGGTGCTTAGGGCGTAAGTCTTATAGAACTAAGTCTCACACTTGAGTATCAGGGCATTTTGCTAGAGTCCCGCCCCAGGGCGAGTCCCAACAGAATCTTTTAAAACACTGCAAGGAATATTGTGCATACTTTCAAGTATTCAATTACGTAGATAAGTTAACCATTTGAAGTTAATGTATATAGTTTTTTTTTTTAAAAAAAAAAACAATAATTAAGTGTTAACTTATGTAATATCACTAATATGTGCTCGTAGACACCAGCAAAGAAAAATAAAAAGATTATATAAAAAATGTCTAATAAAACATAATTCTATCATGTCGCGCTAATTCAATTTACAAATAAGTTGTTTTGCCATTTATATTATTTTTTGTATAATTTTCAATTACTCAAATTTAAACTTTAAAATATCGAGTTAATCAATTCTATTTAGTTATTATATTGTTTGTTTTTATTTTAATTTCTCCACTATTTTTTACCTGGCTATTTAATAGAGTACTATTTAACTTTTCTTATTAATTTTTATAAATTTTATTTGAGCCGAAATTTAGTTGAAAAACAATTTTTATATAATAAAATATTATCTACACATCGTTCGAACTTCTAATCAAACCTCACTTATATGATATTTTATTAGTATAAATTTCATAAATAGTCATTAAACTTTTTTTCTTTTTGCCACTAAAATCACGGAACTTTGTTTTGTCACGTAAAACTACAAACGAAAAAGGAAATAAAGAGAGAATTTAGAATAAAAATAGTATAAATATTTTCTTCCAAAAAAGGAAATAAAGAGAGAATAACCCACAAGCCACAGATGAAGGACGAATGCAGCACTAAGAAATTGTACAAAGCGCAATTTAAATTGTACGAGTAAAAATTTAGATCGGAATCTGTTCTTTTTCTTCTTATACTTCACTATGATGTTTTCTCTGAGTAGTTCTTCCTTTGGGAACTAGAAGTAATCACAATTTGGTATGTCTTTTCTACTCTTTTGGATATATTTTCTAGCTAAGCTTTTTACAAACCGGTTGATTTGCACATACAATGTGTTTCTTTGATGAATTTTATCTTTATAGCCAATTAATTAAGATATCAACAATGCTTATGCCTTAAATTTTAAAGTGGATTGTGCGTCTAAGTTGTTTGATAATATGCCTCAGTTCACTTATTTCAAGTTTCCTGTTGATAAGTAAAGTCAAATCTTATCTTGGTGATTTTGGCTCTACTGTTCAAGATGTGGGAACTATATATGTTCCCACTGATCACCCCAGTGTTTCCTGTTGATAAGTTCATTTGTTTGCTCATATATTATTTATAATACTCCCTTTGTAATGTAAATCTACAGATGACAGGGTTAAGAAAATCATTTAAGGATTGTGTTAAGTAGAGTATAGAATGCTTCAGACCGCACGCTGAGGCTGCTAAATGATTTCATACCTATTTGATTTTTAGAGATAATATGAACCTCTCCTGTGAGGGCAGAATGTCGTGTACTATCACATTGTCTAACTCTTATGCTTATATTTCTTGGCATTAATTTATTAGTCCTTTATATGTCATTACCATTTACTTTTCTATATAAACATGATCTGTTTTACCTTCAAATGTTCTGTTTTGCTATAATCTGTTTTATGTGTCGTTTTCTGTCAGGAAAATACTTTCCTAATTAGAATTCTGAACGTACAAGTAACATGTATTCGTGTCATGCCATCAACTTAGTAGACCTGTTGTATTTCAATAGTATTATCTAAAACCATGTCGGTTGACCATTTTTTGTTGGAACTTCCACCGGAGATCCTTGACATGATCGTGAATAAGCTAATTGACCTACGTGACTACCTCCATTTCCGGGCGTTTTTTTCCAACTGACAAACTTTTACTGGTGACTAGATTTTTGGAGCTTGATTTTGATGCCGCGCAGAGGCGGCTCAACGTAATTGGGGGCCTAAAGCGAAATTTCAATTTGCGGCCTAAAATATAAATACACTTCATATACGTATTTATTCAAAAAAATTAAATTACACTATTAAGATGAAAATTATTAGTACTTAATATTGTTTTTTGAGTTACTAGTTTTAGGTAAGATTTTATCAACTCAACATTGAAAAACATCCTTTAAGTGAGACAATTATTATATGTATTGTTAACATAATGATATAAGTAATAAGTTGATAAATATTAATTAAAGATAAGAGTTAGAAGTTTAGAATCATAGAATTTGACTCAAAAAGTTGATGACTTGGTATACCTCATTTTAATATGCTTAGAGTAATGCTTGAAACTAAAATTTAAAAAGAAATAAAAAAGAATTTGTAATTCACTTTGTTCAACACTTTTCACTGTTAATTCTTATTTTTAACAAAGTACAAAAGATGTTAAAGTGGATAAAATAATTTATTTTTAAAAAAATTATACTTTTTATCATAAATAATTAATTTTTCTATAAAAAATTTAACACATAATTTATTCTTTGACAAAAATTTGGGGCCCCGGAATTTGGGGGCTAAGGCAAAGGCCTTATTTTTGAAAGCATAGAGCCGGCCCTGAATTGCCGCGTATCATCAGCTTGATGTTGTGTATAAGGCAGTCGAATTTTGTGTCTTTAGGTTGGTTTTAGAAAGACCAAGATGGGAGAAGATTAACAGTTTGGGGGACACGATATTGTTTTTTTTACGAGAAAATTCTTCGTTGGCATTGTTGGCTTCTGATTTTCGTGGATGTGAAGGAAACAAGATTTACTTTACTGATGATTATTGTGAGGCTAACTAATTATGATGATGTCGATGGGAATCATGATTTAGGGTATTACAATTTAGAGGATGGTAGTATTGAAGCGTTGTCCTGCTATTCTTGCAATTCACATTCTATGCTTCGTTGGCCTCCTCCAATTTGGTTCACTCCAAAATCCATGTTGATAATGTAAGTCTGCCTCTCCCTTTTTGTGTATGTTAGGTTGTTTTACTTTGTGAACTGTATTTCTAGTCTGGTCACTGATGTAATATATTGTTCAACTCTCTTGATATCACTAGCGATTAACTATCAACTTTTGATTTTCGCCAGAAGCTAGATTGAATCGATTGTACGATATTTGAAGTTATAGATGAAGCACAACTCACCTTTGTGAAAATTCACTGCGCACAGCTAACTCTTTAAAACTTGATTTGAGATATTTGTACCTCTAATACAACTGAAATCTGACCCTATAGTGCCCTGTGGCAATAATAAGATTGCAGTTAGGAGAAACTTTAGGGACAAGACATTGATGAGCATTAGTTATTTCCCAACGAAACCCACATTTTGACTATTTCAAGGCAAATAAATTGCCTCATTGGCCTAGAATATTAGCTTGTGTTGATGTTGTGGATATGGTAGATATAAGGAGTCTTCCATTAAGATGAAGTAATACCAGTTGCAATAGTCCTGTTAGAAAAATAGAGAATAAGTTTTGCTACATTATGCATAAAGAACTGAGCAGTTACCATTTTATTCAGTAGCAATTGTGGGTGCTGATACTCATCTACCTGAATTAAGTTAATTTACATGTCAAAAGGGCTTAGATATTGAGTTACTCCAACTTCTTTGGAAACCATTATCTGATGTTTCATCTGTCTGTTTTTCTTTGAATAGGCAATTCATGTGAATTCCAATTTTTCCCACCAATTACTGGGAAAACTTAATGGAAATCTCTAGCTCTACCATGAGCACGTAATTTTGAGATTTGCATGAATGCATGTTTCTTAAATTCTTTTTTTTTGGCAAAGGTTCTTTTACTGTTTGGATGGGGAAAAGTTGATTTAGGAGAATTGGTAAAAGAAGGAACTTTTTGATAGACCTGTTCATCCATCCTCTATTTTGATCTCTGCTTACAGTGTATAATGCCTTTTGAATCGTGTTGTTTCTTGTTGCAGTGGACCTTAGTGGATTCCTCCAGTGAGTGGATGGAATTAATTTGTATATGAGATGCAAATTATCAATTAATGGTGTGCTGTAAGTAAACATGTACATACATTTTCTTGATGCAATCTGTGTGACCGCAACATTTCTAGTACTCAAGTATTCATGTGATGTTAATAAACCTGTGCCAACATATTTTTTTATGCCTGCAACATTGCCATGTAATTGTGATCTTGCCGCTTCTGCTTTATGTTTCTGTAAATACCTTCACCTTTATTGTGAACAACTAATAAGCTGGAATGGAATATAGCTCTCGTCTGGAGTTCTACTCTTGTATATCATACAGATGAGTAACCAGAAAGCTAAGTCCATAGAGCCTATAGGTGACTTATTTTAACTAAGTAGATTAAAAATGTTACTACATCATAGTTGCATCGGAAAGAATATTCCTCTGCAATTTAAGAAAGTCACTGGAGAGAACTGATGGAATTGGAGATCGCCTAGAACCTGGCTGTGTTTATGTGGGAGCAGGTTTCAGAAAATAAGTCACTTTCAGTACGATGCTAATTGACTTTAACCATATGGAATCACCAAAGACATTATAGAAGTCGTGTGTTTCTAGTTGAAAATTCTTTTTAAGATCTTGCAACTGAATATATTGCCCTTTTGGAAATTGGTTCTGAATTTAATCTTTATTGAAATTTTAGTAATTCGTACATATAGAAATTTATTCTGTGTCAAAAATGTTGGGTTCGGTTGAACCTGTAGCAAGCATGCTACATCCAACTGATCCTGAAGCGATGCTTTTTCGCGAGAGCTCTCTAATCTAAGCCTCCAATGTTCAGTATAACAGAATATGCATTGTAAGGCACAGCCGCCGTGCGTCTTACAAGACGCTGACAGCGGTGCGCCTTACAAGGCGCATAGAATTTTGAGCCTTGCTGAGTTTAACCTGATTTGGACGGCGTTAATTTGGGCATTAAAATGTTGCCATTTTGGTTCTAAAATCAATTTTGTTGCCCTTTCGTAATTTTTGGCAAAATTCTTTTGCCCTTTTGGCTCCGAACTCAGATGGGTAATAATGGGACAATTCTTGTTCATAAAAAAAGGATAGAAATCCGGGCTGTGGGTCAAATTATTTAGCATTCTAGACAGTACGTCAACACCTAATATAAACAAGGAAGGTGATATAGGATCATCTTGTTTTAAACTTTGAGAAGAGGTAAAAAAACCATTAATTATAATCGAATACCAAACATCATTGATCAATCTCATTATCCAATCTACCCAAGTAGTAGGCAAAACCAAATTTAAGCAAAACAGCATGAAGGAAGGACCAAGACATCCTATCATAAGACATATCTAGCTTAATAATTATATTACCACCTTTGTTGTACTTAGTAATATCCTGAGCAATTTCTTGTGCTGATAATATATTTTCAGTAATAAGTCTGCCTTTAATGAAACCACTTTGATTATCAGAAATAAGAGAATTTAAAAGAGGATTTAGTCTAGCAGCCATTATTTTGGAGATGATTTTATTAGAGAAGGTAGGAAGACTAATAGGTCCATGTCGGAGAAGGTATATGGGGATTCAGTTTTAGGGATCAAAATGAGACATGTATGAGAGAAAAAATTAGTGAGGTTACCTCCTTTGAAGAAGAACTGCACAAAATTAATGATGTCTGCATTGATGATGTTCCAACAACTAGCTTTGATAGAACTTACCATTGAATCCATCAGGTGCTCTGCAGATTGCAGGTGACATGTCAAATACTGCATTTCTGATCTCATCTTCCTCTGGTAACTTAATAAGCCCTTCATTGTCATCATCAGTAATGCAAGAATTGATGTAGTCCAGAGTGTTGCCATAGGAATTTGGATTGTGCAGGTTGAACAACTTCTTAAAGTGCCTTACTGCCACTTTAGCAATTTTATCGCTGTTGTGTACCCATTTGCCCCTATTATGTTGTATTTTTTGGATTTGTAGTCTCCTCCGTTTGCTCTTAAGTATAGCATGAAAGTATTTAGTATTATTGTCTCCCTCTTCAAATCATTTGATTTGAGCCTTTTGCTTGTACATAGTATCTTGGATACTCAACCATCTAGTATATTCACTGGGAGCTTTGTTGAGTTCTTCCCTGCCTTGATCATTGCTATACATTAGATCAATATCTTCCAGCATTTGGATTTTTGCTTCCCGTTTTATGACTTGATCATGTATGTCCCCTAGTGAACTTCTAGACCATTGGCTCAATTTCCTTCCAAGTCTCTTTAACTTAGTCTGTAAGATCCACATTGGGGTTGCCATCAATGGTTTCATTCCAACTTTGTTGTACAACCTCCTGAAATTCAGGTTGATCCACCCAAAGACTGAGAAATCTGAAATAACTAACGTGGGCATGATGGTCATTGTAGAATTTTATAAACAAAGGTCTGTGATCTGAAGCCGTTCTAGCAAGATGTTCGATATTATTATTCTGAAATGGCTGGTTCCAGTCAGCATTAATAAAGAGTCTTTCCAGTCTTTTCCATATTTGTTTACCTGGTCTTCTGTTATTGCACCAAGTATACTTTGAGCCATAGAACCCCAGGTCAACCATTCCGTAGTTATTCAAGCAGCCATTCCATGTTCTTGCAATTTTGATCACCACTAGATCTCTTCAAATGATTGGGCAACCTGTTCTTCAACTATTTTCCGATTCAGTTCAACAACTAATTGTGTCCCCTTGAGATTTTTTATTTCATCAGTTGGTAAACTTTCTAAAATGTCATGGTCAGCCAAATTATCTTCCTCTTCAGTACCAGGTTTTTCTAAATCTTCATTACTAATATTGTTGTATGGTTGTTGTTGCTCACTGTCTCCAGAATTCTGCTCGCTTTTCGTTATCTTTGTCCGGTTGAATCATGATACTACTTGATCAAATTATAACTTCTTTTATAGATAAATTTTTAAGTTTGAAAAAGTGATTTTGATCAAGTGAATTTTAGATAAATTTTAAGTTTGAAAATGTGATTTTGATCAAGTGAATTTTATTCGCAACTTTTACTCTTTTTGCAAATTAAATTCATACACGGAAAAGATAACTTTGACTTTCAAATATAATTCTTTCTAAAGTTTGTTTAAAATCAGTTGAAGGAAGAGAGTCAAATGCTCACAAGTCACGAGATTAGTGTATCTGGTAGCAAATCTAAGTGTATATTCTTCAATATAGGGTAGAAAACTCTTAATTAGTGGTAAGATATGTAATATTTTGAAAGTATACGTAATAATAATAAATATGGTAGTGAATTATGTAGTTTTTCCTTCAAATATCCCTTAAAATTGAGCTGCACAAGGAAACGTATAAACACACACTATAAAATATAACATTAATACAGTATGCTATTAGAATATGAATTGTGATTGAATCTTTTCTGATTTGTTTTTAGTGTATATGATAGCAAAAATACATGTATCTATATGTATGTTGCTCAATATATGGTAGTAAATTCTTAATTAGCGGTAAGATATTTTAATATTTTTAAAGTATATATATGGTAGTAAAATATGTCTAATTATGTAGTTTTTCTATAAAAAAAATAAGACCCTACCTAAAAAAGAGAAAAAGAAAAAGAATAGGGAATAAATTAAATTGAGTGTTTTAAGGGATCTATTGGAATTGGTAGAGTTATTTACGGATCATTTGGGATTTGCTGCATAATATATATGTTTTGTTAATTGATTAGGACTTTGAGAAATTTCCTTAAAACGTTGCATAAACTATATATGGTTTGATTTGTTTGGGATTAAAACTGCTCGATTAAAAGAAACAAGGGACCATTTTGCACTAGTTTCTCAAAGAAAAAGAATTTGTTAAACCGAAATCAGTTGTGTGTATATATATGAAAAAAACCCTAGTAATTTTATAGTCCTTCAGTTGGTTTCAAACCCCTCTGGATCAATTTGTAAGTTCTTTATTCCCAATAGTAGATAATCATGTCGTATATCTTTAATGAGTATAATATTTTTCTTGTAGGTATCGATCTATGGCACTTGAGTGCTTGAGACAAGTGTTTATTTCAATATTATGCAGAGGTGATGATGATAAGGAGGAGGAAGACGAAGGTTTTAGATCAGTACGTTTGCCTGATTGTATTATAATTGATATATTGAATAGACTTCCGCTACAAGTCCTTGTTAGATGTCAAAGTAAAAGGGATTATTTGGGAGCTTTGATCTCATCACGCGATTTTATGACATTACATCTCAATAAAGCTAAAGCTAGAGGACCCATGCTTCTTCTCCATGATAGTACCACTGATGAAAAGCGCAACAAAAAACTCTATGTGCTTACTAATTATATGACTAAGCCGCTCAAGATCCAGCATCTCTATCTCCGTCCTCAGCTTATGGTGAATAATAAAAAGTACCGAGGACGAAACCCGGGACACCCTCCTCATATTAGATTCTCATGTCAAGGAGCTATTCTGTTTGTTAATGATGCATGTTGTGCTACCACTTGTTATGTTTTGAACCCCACAACACAAGAGGAAGTTATTGTACAACGTACAAATCAATTGTCGCACAATTTATTATGTGCTCTTTATTATTGTCCAGTTGATCATCAATTCAAACTTCTTTCTGTGGAAGTAATTAATGGCTCTTTAGCTCAGTATTTAGTATATACATTCAAGACACAGACTTGGAGGGAAATACGCGGTACTAGTGTCAACTTGGTTCCTCGATACAAGAAAGGATCTCCAGCAATTGTTAATGGAGCATTGCATTGGATCATGCACTATGATTTACAAAGGAATAAAAACAAGCCACATGATCCTCCTCCTAGTTGTGAGAATAATGGTATCATCATTTTTAAAATGGATAAGGAACAAATCTATGCTAAACCTCATCCTGGAATTGTTTGCAACGTCTCCCACCTTGACAATGAGCATAAATTCATGATGACTCTCTTAGTCATGGAAAACAATTTGTGTTTCTGTCACTTGCTTGCCTCTCAGCCTGCACTAGCACTAGATATATGGGTCTTGGATGACTATAAAAAGTGGGCATGGAACAAAACATATAACATCAATCTACTTCCTTATGGTCCAGGCCGTAACCCCAAATATCTGCATTGGTCCATGAAACCTCTCTACATCCAAGACGGTCTATTTGTATTTTACATAAAGTCTGATAGACATTTATTTCTTTATGATTTACATCATAAAACCCTCAACCATGTTCTACTCCCACAAATGATCAAGTTACGTCCTTTTGGAACTTATATAAAGACCCTCCTCCCAATAGTAGCTTAATTAGGTCTCCTTGCTTCTTCTTTTTTAAAATTATTTTCTTCTCTTTTTCGTGATCAATGTTTTAGGTAATGTTCTACACTTGTATGTTCTATACAAGTAATTTTCATTTAAGGTATCTATCTATATCTTTTTTATATTCAATATGTAAAAGATATATTCATTGGTATTCGTTGTTGTTCCACTTTTTCTTTGAATAGACAAGTAGTAAGACTACAAGAGGTGTGCAAAAATTGGCTCAAACACACTATTATAGAAAAAAAGGACTGCAACTAAGATCCAGTGAAAGCTATTTTTTTACATATCAGAAAAATCTATTATATAAAACTTGATTTTGTTCAGCACCCTTTTTTTTTTGCTTCTTTTTAATTAAACTAGAGGGTCAAGGCACGGCCCAACATTTGAGATATTTTAAAATTGCATTTGCTATATTTTGGTAGATGCAAAGCTTGATGCCCTCTCTCTCACGCACTAATCATGGTAGAATAGTGTACATGTGTAAGATCTCGGATACTTTCTGTGAACTGATAAAATTTATCCTCTCGTGCCAAGCAGACATTCAAGTCAATTATAAACCTTACACAAACCAAGTATATATATTCACATATATAATTAATATATATTTTACAAAGATAATGAATAAGTACTGGCTCAGTTCCTATTGCCTACATGTAGAATTAATACATGTAATTCAATATTACGCTGCACTCTTCTTATAAGCATATTGTTCTCTTCCACATTTATTTTTCTGCTTGTACCTTTCTTGGATCTGTATCAAAATTGCTTAACATTAAAAAATAGATCCTCTTGGCCTTTTGTCAAATACCTTGCTTTTACTTGAGCATAATATTTCCTTTACACTTTTCCAGCAACAAAATATTCAACTTCAATTACCTTTAATTTTACAACATAATTTATAGATTATATAAGTAAATATATTATACCAATTTTTCAGTAATAAAGAGATTGCACGTATAATTTCAGAAGTAGAACTTGTGCAGAGTAGCTTGATTAGAAGGATGAACTGAAGCTCAAGTCAAGCAACATTCTAACTACCTTAAACTTGGTGAGTAAACGACTACGACACCCCCTCCACATAGGTCCATTGGAAGGCTACTCTGGCATTGAAAGGATTGTAGCTTGAATCTCCTACACCACATTATAACCACCGTAAGCAAAATCCACATCTCTCAATGTGAAAAAGTTGAAAACGACTCGCAAATTGATTTTAGCGGAGTAGCTATAGTCCACGTCTAGCTCCACGCTTAGTTGAATCCCCTCAGCCAATTGTAGAGTAACTAAATTAATTGTCACATATACAATAGTCAGAAAGACGGGACTTAAATATTATTAATGGGCAGAAAGGAAAATAAATAGCAGTACTAATAATTTTGGATACCTTAAGGACATGACAACAGCCACCAAAGACGCACCAAATAGAGAATCTAAGTTGGAAAAATGAGAGAGCACAAAATAGTTAGAGGAAGTGTTTAAGTTTCATATTTGTGTAATCTTGTATGCACACTAAATAATGGACCTTCTTGAGTGATTTTACCGCAGTCGTCAAGTAAACAATGTCAACGCCAACTTCGACAATTACCTGTTGGGGCACCGCTTTTCCCAAAAGCATACTGCCCAACTCATGATATATATAGAAGTGTGTTTTACTGGGACCATTTTGTGCATCTCAATCATTTGATATTAAGGGTACAAAGTTATAATCCAAGATATTCACCAACACACCAGGTCCCATAAAATTTGATTTACATCCAAAATAAATGATTTTTTCATAATAGAAGCCCCAAGTTACACTCTATTTTCTATATATGGACATATAAATCTCTATAAACGAACACGTACCATTCAAGGTGAGACATAGTATAAGGAAGATTGAGGAGACCGGTTCCAACCATAGTTATAATATTGTGGAATGTTGAACACCACCATTTTGCATTCCTAGAAGAAGTTACGCTCGTAAATTGTCTTTTGTTCTGCAGATCTGCCTCATTTTCTAAAAGTGAATTGAACAAATAAAATTGATATATGACATAAAGAATTGTCCAAAAATTTGCTGAAAATGATTGAGAGCCTAGCAAGCTCCTACATAATAGGCCAAGCATTTTTTTGTATTTATTTATAAAAAACCAGATTGAAATCGTCAGAGCATGGAAACTCTTTTTATATACGTAGCCTCATTCGTTGGGGAGAGCATTGAAGCGATCTCCTCCTTTCCCTAGTAGTGCTATTGAATAGTACTTGGCACACTCAAAAGTTCCTATGTGGTTGCTTCTGGCTCCTTTAATTACCTTGCTAATCACTCTCAACGTACATATTCTTTTTTTAGTGCTTGGAACTTTGTTCTTATATGCTCATTCTCCTTCTTTACAATCAAGTAGAGACATCACTGCAATCGAAAGAAATACATACAATCTTAACACGGTCTCCTTTGCAGTTGCACCATTCACCTGAGAATTCAAAATTTGTGGCAGACCTAATTTTTCTATTTGTTGAGTGCTGGGTACAAAGGTGCCTAGCTCCATGAGTAAACATGAATATCAAATATGACACTGTAAAGCTATAAACAAACATGTGAAATGAGATAATGATATAGTAATTAACATAATGTAAGGTTTAAAAAATAGTAGACTTCAATGCAATAAGGTCTTTTGCTTTCAATTTATTTGATCACAATCTTTTTATCAATCAAATCACAATTAGCTTAAAACAATCAATCAAAACTTAATCCAGCCATCACCAAATTAGGTAAAAATATATAAGTTGGTCATTCTTCCAACTATAATTTCAAATATATCTATCACACAAATACACAGCTAAAATGCTCAAAAGGAACTTCTTTGGATAAAATCACTACTAAAGTTACTATTTCCCCTTGAAATTCGTCATTAAAAAATGTACAGATAGTTTGATTGAATTGAATCGGTGAGAGAAAAACATACTAGTGTTTTCACACGAAAAATTTAGAAAGTTCCTCAGTATTTTAATGAGGATATGTTTTTCACCATGCGTTTTCCTATGGAGCTCAATGAAAATGGGGTGGAAAAATCATGTTTAACAATACAAATTAATTGATTCACGGTGACTATGAATGATGTACTCTTCTTCACCTTGCTCACTTCTCACCTCGACTTCCATCAGCTTCGATACCGCGCTACGGCTAGCCTAATCTGTTTTCCAGTAAAATCTCCAAAATTAGAACAAATCAACTTACCAACCAACTTCATTGTAAGATCACAAGTAAGTTAAAACAGGACATAAATACATTAATTACTGACCTTTGAAAACTTTTTCACAGTCTCTCTCTATTCATTGTATTCTTCTCCATAGCTACAACATTGCCACAAATAATGGATGAATACATGCATGTGCAAAATAGGCATAAATTTTTTACAGTAGCCTTCAAATCAATCTTAAGGAGAAGCGAAAACATTCCACAAAACAAAATCTATTACAATCCTCTTAAATCTCACATTTAAATAATATCATCTACGATAAGATATCGAAAGAGACAGACCAAAATCCAAAATCGAAAAGCTTACCTTGTTGGTCATAATCCAGAGAAAAGCACGAACGACCGACTAAAAATCCAAAAATAACATACAAATTATTCTGAAACAAAAGAAAAGTGAGATGCAAAATTGAAAACTAAAAGTGATGAATGAAAGAAACAAAGAGAAATAGAGAATCACTGTGTGAAGAACAGAGGGAAGAAGAAGTGAAAATTGAAGTAAATATTCCAAAGGAAGCACGTGTAACCTTTATTTAAAAAGAAAAATAAACAGCTGCGTATTGAGAGCAATACACGTGTTAAGCAAATTGTCAATTTATAGTACAATACATATTACTTTTTGTACAACTATCAATTGCAGTGGTCGTACACTACTTATTGACTTATACTCCTATAAAAGAAGAAGAGTAATACTAATACACTGACCAAAAATAAGGGTATTCTGAATGTATTCGTGTCATGCCATCAACTTAGCTGACTTGTTGTTTTATGTTAAGAGGAAAAATGTATCACCTCTTAGTAGACCTGTTGTATTTGGTCAAAACAAATGATGAACTTTTACTTGTGGACTAGATTTTTAAACTAAAAAGATAAAATAAGTTAAATATATAAAATATCTAACTTATGATTTTTAATTTATAAACCAAAAATTATAAGTTTATCCAAACAAATTTTAAATGTATCTATTCCTTTTAAACTTTGTATCTAACAATCTTTCCTTCTTTCAGTAAAAATACAAGAAATAACTTTTTGAATATTATAAGCATAACATATTTTAATTGGTAGTGGAGTGGGGTGGGGTGTGTGGGGGAGAGAGAATTGCAAACCCATTAACTACCATGGGATTCATTTTCATCTTTATCAATATTTATTCTAACCACATGGTTAATAGTATATATATCATAACAATTTCCTATTTAGATGTTTAATCTTAAAAATTGTACCCTAACAATTAGCACCACCCTATCTCACACAATATTTTTAATGATTTACACCATAATATCTTTGTTTAATTGAAAAATCTAAAAAATGTTTCTTTTTCACTTAGCTATGAGGCATTCAAATATTGGGAACTTACATAAATCTCACTAGTTTAGGAGCTAATCACTTAGATACAACACTCATACATATTAATCACGCCAGATACATACATATGCATGTAGAATGTGATACACATGTATCTGGAATACTATACATACAAATCTTGCTCTCTTTCCTCGCCAATATTGCTCGTCTCTCTCCCCCTATTTTAGTATATTTGGTAGCAAATCTAAGTGTATATTTCTCAATATATATGGTAGGAAATTCTTAATTAGTGGTAAGATATGTAATATTTTGAAAATATAGGTAGTAATTATAAATATCGTAGTGAAATATGTGTTTTTCCTTCAAATATCCCTTAAAATTTAGCTGCACAAGGAAACGTATATACACACACTATAAAATATAACATTAATACAGTATATTATTAAAATAT